TCAACAGGCTTACAGACTTTTGGAAAACTGTGGTGAACAAGCTCTTGCTTTCTAAGAGGATAATATGTATATTCTCTTTATATAGATACTCAGGGATAGAAGACATGCAGAGAATATCCATTGGGCTAATGTATAATATATAGCCCTAAATCAGAGGAAGCAATTCCCAACTATTTGGGTGGAAAATGCAAGTTAAGTCAGTTCAGAATTGGCATCCCACAATATTATCCCATATAGGCAATTTAGGAATATGTGATGCCTCTCATATTAGGCCAAGACCAAATGGAAATTAAATATGTTTATTAATAAAATCCCATAATGATTAATAAAAGCCATTTTGTTCAGTGATGACTTTCTGAAAACTACTGATTTTAGGAACATCAGCAAAAGCTAGTTTTATCATTGTTTTCAATATTTTTCTTGCTATACGTGTAATAAACTTGAAGTGCGTTGAATTAAACTGTTCCAGGTTTATTGCACTTGACAATTTGCAACATGTTTTGCATTTTAGGCTTAAATGGTAGATGCCACCCTACAACCCTAAGTAAATGTTTTAAAAGAGAGATTATTTACGAAAGAACACATCATCCTTCACCAATTAGTTACGTTTAAGTTCTTAGAATTCAGGTGAACAGAATATTTACTGCAGACATTGTTGTCTGCTTATATAGACATCACATTGTTTATTACCCGAAGAAATACATTAAAATTATTACATGCATTTTTAACTCCTAAGCATCAAGTTCACATCCATTCTATGATACTGTTTTGCTTCTGAGTTTCTGAGGTTTTTTTTTAATAATATATTTTTCCAGTAGTTGTGATAGGAAATGTATTTCTTCTTTCCATCATTGTTTCACTAGTTTCTTTATCAAAATCCTCCCCAGAAGGTAAAGTGATTAACCATATTTCTCCCTAAGGACAAACCATAGAGAAAGGGATTATGAAGGAAAATAATTAAACAATCCAACCACCAGTACCATAGTTTCTATGAGGAAACTGGAATCCCTTTGAGACTCTACTTAAAAAGGCAGAGGAAATGCACCCAGTGTTTGTTCTACCCTTTTTTCAAAAAAACAATTGAAGAGGAAAACAGGAAACAACTGTAAAGTGTACTTTGATTGGTGGAACTATGAGGCATCTATTTGAAAACATTGTTATAAATTGTTTTTTATTATCATAAACTTATTTAATACCTCCCACTTCCTGTTTAGGTCCTTGTGGTGGAACCCTGAAGTACCTTCTGTGACTTCAATGCTACGTCGAAGTCTCTCTTTGAAATCTCAGATTGTATTAGGCAACAGACCTAGGTGGCACTTGAGTCAAAGCAGGTCACAGGTTCTTCCTCATCGAGAATTCATATGGAAACCTTTCCAAATTGACCCCATACTTCTGAGGACAGAGAATGAATGCTGTGCCAATACCAAGGGACTACATAAAGTAATCGGTCAAAAATACTCATCACATGATAGCAGAGAAACTAGTCCAAGCATTAAGTTTGTGTACCAGGAACCATTAAACCATGAATTTTTTAATAAGCTACACTGAGTTAACAGCTGGTCAATGGGAAAGCAGGCAGTTTCCTGTTCTGATTATTTGTCACAAGACTTTAGTGTAAAGACATCTTTAGTGAATGAGAACTTGGAGCCTAGATTATGAAGACAGTAAATTCTCTTCTTTCCACAGATAAATTGCAAAGTGTTCTGAAGGACAGGGGTTTTCCTCCTTCATTAATATCTTAAGAGAAGCTGCATACAGATTTCCCACCTATTTGTTTTGCTGATAATAAAGAGGGCTATGTGTGGAGGGAGATTGTGTGACAGAGGAGAATTGTCGGCAGGAAGTTTCATGAACCTATTGGAAGTTTTTACCTTTTTCATCTCCTCTTGATTATTTTAATGATTTGCTCCCTAATGAGATTCAAAATCAGCTTAATGAAAAATCAATGAGTGAATTTAGAACAAATTCAGTGAACAAAGGAAGAGTTCTTCCTTCTTCTTACAAATATCTCCTCCACCATTGAACACATACTATTTTGGCAAATGTTGCTTTGGAAAACTTCCTCACCTGCAGTAGAATGTAACTCAACACTTTTCTAGTAGGAAAAATATTATGCCTAACTAATGCATGCACAAAGTTTTCTTTTTTATGATGGATACATTGCAAATTCTAGAAACTCAATTTTATTGTTCATAGGCTGTTGTAAGGATATACCTTTTTATTACTGCAATGCACAAAAAGCAAGCAAAACTGTTACTGTATTTATATCCTTTGTGTGAATGTATCACTCCCCTACTTTTTAGGAGTACACTGACAGATCTGGACTCTTATTACTGCCTTAGCTCATAATTAAAAATAAAACATGTATGCATTATAGTACATAAAAATGTGCTGAGGATGCAAAGATCATAAAATAATGTTTATGTTCTTAAAGTTGGGCAAAATTAAACAAATCTCTGTTAAAGTATATCGAAGCCATGTATCGGAACTTGTATTTGGTTATGGATTTGGTATAATGTTAATGAAATTTGTATGTGACTTACAAAGGTTAACAGATTTTGAAACTTGTTCAGACTGGGTTTTGTTGTTATTTAAAAAAAACTTAAACAACTTAAATGACACATTGTAAGTACAATGCTGAAAAATACATGAATGTATCAGAAATATTATTTTGCTTTTGTATTGTTCAAATTACAGATTGAGGAACTTTACATGTCTAATGGTCATTTATGTTTCACTGAAAAACAGTATAATAGCAACTAAAAGACATGGAAGATTTATGAGTCAAATTTAAGTTAATTTACACAAAGAACCTAAATATCTGATTACATTTGGCATCCTTGGGTATTTTTTCCTATTGACAACATGACCAATTTTGAAAATATTTTCTAGAATTTTTTTCCAAAAATAAAGTTTTTAATCATATCTTAATTAAACACCAATTTATGTTCTAAAAAAAGAGGTCTTATTTTTGTTATTTGTCTTTATAATTAGACTATTGCTAGTCTAGTGCTGTAAAATTATAAATTTGACCAATAAGAACACAGAACTTGAAATAGATTAATGAACAAAATATTCATAAAGTATAGAAATTATGTGTATCTCTTTCATATAGGCTAAGCAGAATCAAACATGGCAACACAGCCATTGGTTTTTGTAGAACTGTATGGCTAAACAGATTTTTCTATTGAATCAAAGTGGCTTGGCAAAGTGAAACAGTCCTCTTTGATACTAATTGAAGATGTCAGAGCAAAGTCCCTTACTTTTTCCATGTTGTGGTACCACTTTATTCCAGTGATGAGACTGTAAAGCAGCACAGCTTGTGCAGAATGCAGTAATGTAATGCTTAGAATGCCGTAACTGTTTTTGTTCTCATGAACTTAACGTTGATAAAATTTACTGAGCACCCCTTAAGTGTATCTTGCTATTTTATGAATGTTTATTCAGCTATTTTTACAAATCAGTGTAGATGTTCTTCCATACGCTAGTCAATATGCATTCATTTTCCTTAGTGAAAAGCAGCTCTCTTTGCTCTTTTGGTGCACATTTTAGAACATTCCACTTCCATTTTTAGTATTGTATCTGAATCGTGGAGTGCATGTTTCACTCAATACTCCCTCTGTCATCTGTGATGAATACCCCCATTAATGAATAAAATCCAGGAAATTGTATTATTAAACACTTCCCTTATTTATTTTAAAATGGATACTATTCATAGATGTAAAATAAAACTTCTCACATGGCATGTAGTTCTTGAAATCACTGTCAGTTACAAATGTCCTCATTTACAGATTTGTGAAAAAAATTCAGTCTACATTCTGCACATTGAGGCCTGCTTTGATAGGGTGCATGTAGAAGAGAGCCATATATCAAATATGAATGCAAATAAGGATCACCATGCAAAAGACTATGCATAGCAATCATTGTTCAATTTTCTTACATTTTTTGTGTCAGCATATATTTTTTACCAACCATTTGTCAACCATCATTTTTTTTTTTTTTGCACAGTTGCATGTCTTTGGGACTTTTTCATACTTTAAACTTTTGTATTCCATATAAAATCTACTCGACACACCATAACTTTGTAATTTTCATTACTGTCATCTTGTTGGGAAGAGAGTTTTTCGGATTCAGCTATGTAGAGAATGGTTCAGTTGCAACTGCTACTGTTCTGAAGAAAGCATATTTTTCATTAAGTGTTAGGCATGGTGCAATTAAAGAACAAGAAAATGTGGTTTTCTTAATGGATTACTCTTCAGAGCAGAAAGGATAGAGAAATGAAAAGAAACTTAAAGTTGAGCAAAAGGATCTGATACTTATTGCAGTTTTGTCTATAACTGCACAAGAAATCCAGATTCAAAGGCAGGGATTTTTCCAACTAGTTTAGGTTGTATAGTGAAATTTGCCAGAAACATATGGAGAGGGCAGAAAAGTCTGCATGACAAACTATCAACCCACATGTAACATGGATTTAAAGCAACAATATTCTATTGACTTAAAATTGTTTGAATTCAACAATATTTTTTGACGGCAGGTATACAGGTATATATAAGCCATTTATTACAGTAACCTTGAGAAAACAAAATACTATTGAAAGCCGCACAGAACAGGAACAGCAAGTTTTGCTAAATTAAATTTAGGACACTCCCACTGTAATCTTGCACACATCTACTTTAAAACAGATCTAACTGAATCAAATGACGAGGGATTTCCTAATCCGTATGCCAGATTTACAGGCCTATAAGCAAGAATGATCACAGCCATAAAAAGAAGGCATTTCTGTTGGCTTTTTAAAACTTTTCTAACTACCGTAGCAAATGGTTATTTTACATGCAGCAAGATGTACAGAAAGCAATCCGATTTGTTTCCTTAAACTGGAGACGGCGGGGCAATCGTCACAAGGTATTTTTCTTTGGGCTGAAAGTGGCCCGTAAACCTCAGCCTAGCACACCTGAGACTGGGAGGGGCACACAATCGGAGTCGCCCCCCCAAAAAAAACACCCCGCCCCGCTTTTCATTGGCCGACGGAGCCTTTTTGCCATTTCAAGTGCGAGCTGGGAAGCGTCCGAGCGCAACTCAAAGGCGAGGCCAGATCGATAAGAAACGCCAACTTCGTGCGGCCGACCGCCATCGCCCTCCTCAAGACAACCTTTCAACGCGGATCTATCATTCCATCCAGGGACTCTTGGGGTCAAGCACGATTTGTCACTTTTCTTTTTTCTTTAAATCGGAAGATCTGATTTCATAGGCGGCGGCTCCTCCTCCTCCTCTTCTTCGGGCCTAACTTGTTCCGCAGGTGGCGGAAACCGGAACCCTTTGGACCCGGAACGGAAGGAAAGAGGGAACGAAGCAGAAGCGGCAGCAGGAGCCCTTTTGGTTTTTTGTCCTCCGCCGCAGGTCACGTGGTGGTGGCACGACCGCTCCTTCTTCCGCTGCTTCCCCCCCCCTCTGTGCCGCCCTCCCCCGCGGCGGAGAGCCCGGTGCGGCTGCAGCATGGCGGACACGACCTCCCAGCTGCTGCTGGGCTCCGGCCTCACGGTGCTCTCGCAGCCGCTCATGTACGTGAAGGTGCTAGTGCAGGTGAGACCTTTGGCCCCTCCAGCTTTTCCCTCCTCGTGCGAGAAGGGAGGGGGTTGGGGACGCCCGGGAGGGAGGGACCACCGTCAAAGCGCTCAGGATTACCCAGGGTCGGCGATCGCTCTTCTCTCTGGGTCGCTGTGGACCCTCGCCCTCGCAGGATCTCATACACACGCACACCCGACCCTCAAGTCTCCGGGCCTTTTATTTCCCTTCGGCTTGGGACGACCACGCTTCTCTCTTGTTCCCATGTGAATATAGTCGCCGACCTGCAAGTAGTAAAGCCGCCGCTTGGTGAAGGACACGGATCCTCCAGCTCTTCCCGGTCGTCTCCCCCCCCGCCGCCGCCCCCACTTCTATTCGGAGCAAACCCCTCCCCCCTGCAATCTCTGCCTCTTGCCTAGAAACACCAATAATGTCCGAGATTGGGGGGGGGGGACTGGAGCCACAGCTAGGGTTCCCCCCCCCCTTTTTTCCCCCCTCAAGAGTTCAATTTTTTTCCAAGGAACCTTGCTTTGCGATCAGGTAAATAGCAGAAACTTAACTTTAGTGCAGGCTTTTAGTCCAGTTCTGGTGCATGGCGGGACAGGAGCCCTTGGCCCCTTGGCAGAGGTCTCGCTTGTAGAAAGAGTGCTTCCGCTGAGGTTTGGCTGCCGTGAGGCATTCGGCCAGTTGCTTGTCACACTCGCACGCCGTTCTGCCACAGATGCTTTTGGACTGGCACTCCGTCTCCGAGGTTTTACACAGCAGTTTGTAGCGCTGCCATTTTACTCTGTTGTGACACTTCAGAGAGAGCCTGGCGTGGCGATAACAGCAGTCGTGCAAGAAACAGCAGCGATCCACCGCGTCCAGAGGCTTTCCAAAGCCGCCTGTTCCACAGTGGCAGCCGTAGAGGTTGAGTGCTAGCAGTGGGATTTGCAATCGGTCCCCATAACACAACAAAGTCGAAATCATATCCAGGACGCTGCGCTTTTCTCTTTCGCTGCCCACTCTTGGTATTGTTTCCTGCAGGAATAAAAGTCCCACTATAAGCCAGAGGGCAGCCTTCATTGCAGAAGCCAGTTTCAAATTTGTTCGTTCTGCTCAGGTATCTTTGCAAGTGAGCTGATTTTCAAAATTCCAATTGCTTTTCTAGTTTTATATGAACCTCATATTTAAGTCTGTCTTATTTTCATTGGTCTTGTCAAAGACACTCCCAGACAAACTTTCTGTAATTTCAGACTTCTTTGTTTGGTAACATTGGTGGTTGTTTCTGGCATGTTGTTCCTTATACTTATTTCATTCTTGGCTGAAAACTATAGTTTTCTAAAAACCACAGTCTCCCTGTACAATGTGCTTTCCGAACAAGAACTTCCAGGAAAAGTACAAGCTGTAAAAGAGTATTTGCATTGCAGGATATGAATACAATTTAACCTTAAACCTTTGAACCTTACATTTGTAAAGAGCAATGAGATAGTTGTTAATTGTATAACTGTCCAAAAAGGGCCACTCAGAACCTGGGAGACATCGAGCTGTTTTTGTATGGAAAACATCCCCTGTATGTGTACTGTGAGAAATCAGAAAACTTGATATTTGTTTGCCAATAATACTTTCTGCTAAACTGCAGATCTCCTAAATAATTCACGTGAATTGGAATGTGCATTTGCCATGTTCCTAGCAAATCAATCAATGAATCACCAAAGCAGTTTCATCTTAAGAATTAACCCCCTTATTGTTTTATAACTATCCTAGTCAGCATAATTTGAGGTAGCAGGATATGTTAAAGAAAATTTCCTGCTTTAAGTAATTAAATCTTAATAGCAAAATACTGCAAAAGAGTGATAAGTGGTTAGATTTTGTTTAAGGAAGATAAAGATTGCTTGGGGGGGGGGGGAGAGATATATTTGCACTATAGCTCTAAATTTGTATATAATAAAAAACAATGTCATTATCCAATATATTGAATTGCGGATTACCTAAGTATTGGTCATATATTCCAAAAATCACAACTAACTAATAGAAATTGTGCTTTTGGCATTGATACTTCTAGCACTGGTATAAGAAGGAACTTCTTGTTAATGAAATAATTGTGTTAATGCTGTGAAATGCATGCTGACTGTTTCTTTGAGAGAATGTTCAATTTGTAGGCTATAAAGTTCACTGTGGATTGTCTCTATTTCAAAGGTGGGATATGAACCCCTCCCTCCAACTCTGGGAAGAAATATTTTTGGTCGGCAAGTCTATCAACTGCCTGGTCTCTTTGCTTATGGTGAGTCTATAATGTATGTATTTTGCAAATAAACAGCCTAAAACACAGTAGGATTGCCGTAATTATGATGCATATGTGAGAAATACATACCTTTGAACTAGACTTATCAGATATGTTATAATAGGTTTTGCAAAAGACAACTTTTGAAGAAAAGAATAGTTAGTTATATAACTGAATTTGGTGCATACAGGTGAAACTCGAAAAATTAGAATATCGTGCAAAAGTTCATTTATTTCAGTAATGCAACTTAAAAGGTGAACCTAATATATTAGATAGACTCATTACATGCAAAGCAAGATAGTTCAAGCTGTGATTTGTCATAATTGAGATGATTATGGCTTACAGCTCATGAAAACCCCAAATCCACAATCTCAGAAAATTAGAATATTGTAAAAAGGTTCAATATTCTAGGCTCAAAGTGTCCCACTTTGATCAGCTAATTAAGCCATAACACCTGCAAAGGGTTCCTGAGCCTTTAAATTGTTTCTCAGTCTGATTCAGTAGGAATCACAATCATGGGAAAGACTGCTGACCTGACAGTTGTGCAGAAAACCATCGTTGACACCCTCCATAAGGAGGAAAAGCCTCAAAAGGTAATTGCAAAAGAAGTTGGATGTTCCCAAAAAGCACATTAATAGAAAGTTATGTGGAAGGGAAAAGTGTGGAAGAAAAAGGTGCACAAGCAGCAGGGATGACTGCAGCCTGGAGAGGATTGTCAGGAAAAGGCCATTCAAAAGTGTTGGGGACTTTCACAAGGAGTGGAAGCTGGAGTCAGTGCATCAAGAGCCACCACACACAGACGGATCCTGGACATGGGCTTCAAATGTCATATTCCTCTTGTCAAGCCGCTCCTGAACAACAAACAACGTCAGAAGCGTCTTACCTGGGCTAAAGAAAAACAGACCTGGTCTGTTGCTCAGTGGTCCAAAGTCCTCTTTTCTGATGAGAGCAACTTTTGCATCTCATTTGGAAACCAAGGACCCAGAGTCTGGAGGAAGAATGGAGAGGCACACACTGCAAGATGCTTGAAGTCCAGTGTGAAGTTTCCACAGTCTGTGTTGATTTGGGGAGCCATGTCATCTGCTGGTTTGGGCCACTGTGCTTCATTAAGTCCAGGGTCAACGCAGCCGTCTACCAGGAGATTTTGGAGCACTTCATGCTTCCTTCCACAGATGAGCTTTATGGGGATGCTGACTCATTTTCCAGCAGGACTTGGCACTTGCCCACACTGCCAAAAGCACCAAAACCTGGTCCAATGACCGTGGGATTACTGTGGTTGATTGGCCAGCAAACTCGCCTGACCCCATGGAGAATCTATGGGGCATTACCAAGAGAAAGATGAGAGACATGAGACCGAACAATGCAGAAGAGCTGAAGGCTGCTATTGAAGCATCCTGGTCTTCCAGAACACCTCAGCAGTGCCACAGGCTGATAGCTTCCATGCCACGCCGCATTGAGGCAGTAATTGCTGCAAAAGGGGCCCAAACCAAGTACTGAGTACATATGCATGCTTATACTTTTCAGAGGTCCGATATTGTTCTATGTACAATCCTTGTTTTATTGATTGCATGTAATATTCTAATTTTCTGAGACTATGGATTTGGGGTTTTCATGAGCTGTAAGCCATAATCATCACAATTATGACAAATCACGGCTTGAACTATCTTGCTTTGTATGTAATGAATCTATCTCGTATATTAGTTTCACCTTTTAAGTTGCATTACTGAAATAAATGAACTTTTGCACGATATTCTAATTTTTTGAGTTTCACCTGTATCTAAACTAGATATTTAAAAATAATGTCAAAACTCTGTGTATATTCCCTTTGGAATTCCAACTAGTAAGCAGTGTTTTGTTAGTAAATATTTTGTCAACATTTCTTCCTGTGCTTATAATCTTTTCAAGCATCATATTTTAAATTCGATTTAGATATACATATGCACATTATAGCAATGCCATATTTTCCCTGAGTGTGCAGTTTTTACAATAACTTTTTTAAAATCCCTGTTTAATGTGGGGATTGAGTATCTGTTTTGAACTATAGGTTTCTAGTCTTTGGCTATTTGGGGATTAAACCCTCACTTGGTTGCCTGTTCCTGATTTGATTTTTCTTCATGAATTTCTCTAATGATAGGCGCTGAATTTCCACCAGGTTCCCAATTTGTTGTTTCTTTGTATGTTTATTCAAAGCAACCAGTTATTTTTAACTTTAGCTCATCATTCTTGTTACTGTTGAGCAGGGAGGACAAGATAATAAGGCTCCAGATGTTTGGGGATTACAATTCTTGTTACTCCTTAATGCTGGTTAGAGTAATAAGAGTTGAGAATTGATAAGAGAGCTACAGACTGCTCATCCTTGCTATATAGTGGATAATAGAGTCTGGTAAGGACATTATATGATTCTGTTGCCTGCAGATGTTATGTGCAGCCAGTGCATACTTGAATGTCATGGATGTGGTTAATATCAACTTAATATTTAATATTTCTAATCTGGCATTAAACAGAATTAAACTAGAATTTTCTAGGATGAGATAGTTTCTGATATGTGGCACTTGTGGGAGAAGGGTATATGGGAATAATGGGACAGATGCTTACCTCTGTTTCTGTTTTCAGCAAAGCACATTATGAAGATTGATGGGAGGGCTGGACTCTTCAAAGGTTTAGCTCCTAGACTCTGCTCAGGAGCCATTGGCACTGTAGTACACAGTAAAGTTTTACAGGTAATTTATAATTTGGTTGTATATTTTTTTAATAAACAAAATATTTCCGATTTCAAATACTTTATAATGTAGGTCATTTTTGCTTGAATTTTGTAAATAACCTCTTAACAACTTTCTTATAAGTTTCTTTTTCAGCCTTGTCTGGTTTATTGTTCACTGCATATCTCTATGTGTGATTTGCATTCATTCTACAAGTACAGATTACAAATCACAGCTCAAAGCCCCTAGCACTGTACTAGTTTGATGTTCAGTTCTTTGGTTATCAAAGCTTTTTATTCCTAGATTGTACAAATTTTATTTGATTTTAATGTAAGATGTTTAAACATTTCTGTGATCTACCAGGATTGCTGCTGCAGTTATTTTGTTAGGCCAACTTATAACGGTGGTGCTAGGTTACATAATGGAACAAATACGGAGCACATAATCTAGTTATCCTATAAGTAGTTCTCCCTTAGTGACCATTCGTTCAGTGATCATTAGAAGTTACAGCAGTGCTGATCAAATGGTACTTATGCCCAGACCCTGAAGTTACCGCCATTGCAGTGCCCCTGGGGTCATGTGACCAAAAATCTAGGTATTTGGTGACCCACCTGCACTTGAGACCTTAGGGATGCTTCAACAACCCCCTTTTCCTCAGACACTGAACTGTTCTTCAGATTTACATTTTGACAGAAGTTATGTGTTTGCATTCCTCATTGACTGAGTAAGTCAGTGTGTTGAATTTATAATTCTTGTTTATGGTGCCTTTAGTGATATGTATATAGAATGTATAGGCCAATGTAATCTGGTTTACAGAGTTTATCACTGAAGTAAAGAACCTCAGAAGGAGTGTGGCAAAGTTGTGTGAAGGTAACTTATGAGCTTATATCTGTATATTTTCTTTCTATCTAGCAATGCCAGAATGCTGACCAAAGTGAGGTATGTCATGAAGTCGATTCATAAATAACTTCCCAGTAAAACTCCTTTTTTAAATTAAAGTTTGTGGAGCATGTCCTATACTGCAGTCTATGGAAGTAGAAAGCTCTGCAGGATTTATAAATAAAATTGATATTATACTTGGGATTGAGGATCCCATTAGCTGGTGGTTTTTGAGAGTGGCTTTTTCCCCCTTTTCTCTTTAGGAATTAGGGAATACTCACAAAGAATCTGGCTCCTCTTTCGATCAAGTTATCAAGGAGGTAAGATATGGGATTCATTTATCAGGGGAATTGGCTGGCTGTGGATTGTGTAGAAGAGCATTCCTCACCTAACACCTGCCAAATGTGTTGGCTGGTGGATAATTGGAATGGTAGTCTGAAACCAGGAGATATGAGGCAACAGCCTGTTTGCCTACACTATAGATTGTACCATAAAGAAGTTGAAAAGCATGAATATCTTGTTAGCATAGGAAAGTATAGAAGTGAGCTGTTTCTTTGCTGTCATGATATTCTGGCTCCTGTCAGAGCTATATAGAAGCTAGATAAAAACTAGAAGCAAGGAAACAGACAGCATGGAGAGGAGATCTGCTTACCCACCTGCTTACCCAACCACCTCCAGTGCTGAGCGCTCCCTTGGAGCCCTGGCCAACCATCAAAACTAAGTTTCGATATCTTTCTGGGAAGGTCAGAAGGGTGGGAGCAGTTCTCATCTTCAGTAGTAGAGTGTTTCTCAGGACGGGGATCTATAGCTGAAAAGGCTCTTCTCCTTGACCCTGCTCACTGAAATTCCTTAGATGAGACCTATTGGGATATATTTGGGGTACACATCATATTGGGAGGTGTCTAAGGTGATAGCAGGGCAATGATTTTTTTCTTAAGTACCGTGTTTCTCATATAATAAGGCCGGGTCTTATTTTTTTTTTTTGAGCCCCGAAAAAATGGCTAGGCCGTATTTTCGGGGGTGACTTAATCCCCCCCCCTTTGCATCTTCGGCCAGGCGGGCGACGGCTTGGATGTTGACCTCGGCATTGGTGGGGCACTTCGTATCGGGGTCAACGCAGGCAGCACCATATCCGGGTGTGCAACAAAAGTACTTCCTAACAGCAAGCCCCCCCCGCCATTTCCCCCCCATTTCGCATGTTTTAATATAGGCCTTAATTTGGGGGGAGGGGCTTAATTTCATTTCATGCCTATAAAACATGATGGGACTTCCTATTGGGAGAGGCCGTATTGTTGGAGAAACAGGGTAGCAATAGCACTTAGACTTCTATACTGCTTCACAGTGCTTTACAGCCCTCTCAAAGTGGTTTACAGAGTCAGCCTATTGCCCCCAACAATCTGAGTCTTCATTTTACCCACCTCGGAAGGATGGAAGGCTGAGTCAGCCTTGAGCCTGGTGGGATTCGAACTGCCAGATTGGAGGCAGTCAGCAAAAGTAGGCTGCAGTACTGCTTTCTAACCACTGAAAATATGATTGAAATAGGCTGATCTGTAGAGCAGTGATAACGAATGAAAATGTTTAATCTTACTACTTCAAACTGTATGATAAGCAGCAGTTATTTAATCCTTTACTGGAATCTGTAGATGGGGCATCTTGCCCTTTTTCTGGCTAACCATTCTTATATGTCTCCAACTTAGACCTCTCAAGAGATGATTGCACGTTCTGCTGCTACGTTAGTCACCCACCCATTTCATGGTATGTATAGATTCACCTTTCAGTTCAGCTTCAGTCATGTTATTGTAATTCCTAGATACAGAAGAAACTCTCTCCCTCTTAACATCAGTTTTTTTTTTTTTTTTGGCTGTGCATTAAAGCAGGAGATGGCTGTGTGCTAATCCTTCCCTGCTATGTTCTTACCACTTCACTGCCTTTAAGTTGCAAACAATTAGTAGTCATTGATAATGAACTATTTGGAAACATTTCACCCTACCTTCCTTCATGGGCCTTAACTAGCTAACAAGGAGAAGTGTTAAAAACCACAGTGTAATCAAATACACTGGGACCAGCAGCAAGTTAAATGTCTGTGAATACACAAATATAACCATGACAATCAAATCAATAATGATCAAATCAAGATCAATCTGGCCATGCTTGAGGACGTCCTTTGAAGAGAGGCAATGAGAGGAACCCATCTGGCGAGGATGTGCAGCTGATGGAAAGGCCCTCTTCTCCTGAGCCTCAGTGAAATGGGTTTCTAGAACAGGGATCTCCAAACTTGGCAACTTTAAGACTTGTGGACTTCCACTCCCAGAATTCTAGGAGTTGAAGTCCACAAGTCTTAAAGCTGCCAAGTGTGAAGACCCCTCTTCTAGAGTGTTGTAATATGCAAGAGGGTCTTCGATAATAACTTCAAAAGGTGGGCAAGTCGTATTGGGGAGGGCAGTTCGATTGAGCAGGGTAGTCCTAATCTCAAGTTTCTTCCCATAGAAAGAGACCTCTTCTCATAGTACTTTGAACTGAGCCACCGTAGCTGATTCAGTAAGAGTTTTGTGTCCTCCCGCATGCAGCACCTCTGAACACCTTGGCCACAGGATTTTATCCAGTTTCATAACCTTAGAGTTATGAAATGCCACTGCAGTAAACCAGATGCAGTTTAATTCAGGAAGATATCATTGTGGCCAGATGGGCCATCTGCAGGTATGGCTGGAATTGACATTCCAGCCTCAGCTGAGCAAAAACAATCTTGGCCATAATCAAACTTGATTATTTCAGATTCAAAAGAGTCCTAATAGATGCTGAACCTGACATTTTCAAAAGGAGCTCTATTTCAACCCACATGTTGCATCCACTTACCAGATTGGTTGTACCATTCAGGAGCATAGCTGTTTTGCCTGGATCTTGAGTTAACCATCTTGGGATTATATGCTCCTGTATAAGTGTAAGTGGGTAGAGGAGTACAGGTGAGGTCTTAACAATAGTTTTTTTCCCTTTTGACTCTTCTTCTTCTTTAGTGATCACCTTGAGGTGTATGGTGCAGTTCATTGGCAGAGAGACCAAATACAGGTACACATCTTTGCAGTGAGGTTGGCTTCATTGGGGCTTTAACCCACACAAGGGAAGGAACTGAGGCTGGGAGATAAATTAATGTATGATGTCAGAAGAGTCCTGTTGTTGAGATTAGTAATGGTGTCTGTGGGAGAGGCAATCACATATTATTTGTAGAATCTTGATGGATTGTTTTTCCCCTTCAATTTTCAGCGGAGTGTTTAGCTCTTTCGTCACCATATACCGGGAAGAGGGCATCTTTGGATTTTTTGCGTGAGTACTTTTTAGAGTGTGTTTTTACCATTTTTTCATACCATGACAGCTTGCGCAGGGATCGGATGGATTTTACATAGGATTTTCTCAGAATGAATACAGCATGCCACTGCGTATTGTATTAGTTACTGGAGAAAGGCTATTATTTGCGTGCTTTCAGAAGGCATCTGATTGGATGTTGTGAGAGACAGGATGCTGGATTAGGTAGGGCAGAAGTCTTAAGCAATGCACTATCCCAAAGTGGGTGGCAGAAATTGTAATTTTTTTTCTTGGTGTTGCTCAGCCTAGTCTTGCACATGGTTGACCAGTTTCCTGCCATGTGAGCAGTTAGTGGTAACTATGTTGTCATGTCAGTATTGAAGTTATCCAGTCTTATTACTAGTCAGCTGTTTTCATTTCAGAGGCCTGATTCCCCGTCTGCTTGGAGACATCCTATCCTTGTGGCTTTGTAATATGCTGGCCTACCTCATCAATACCTATGTACTGGAGAATGGGGTAAGCGTTCTGCTTGTAGATTGCTATGTAGTTAGGAAGCAGAAATGGCTGCTGAGGCTCCATTTGGTTGCAGTTTTCTGGTATTGGCCTTGAAGATGCCTATTCTCACGGTGCTGCAGCATCCTCAAAAGGCATGCATGAAATGAAACATGTTGTTTGTTTCATACATGAAACAAACACTTTGTTTCTGTTTCTGTCAAGTTATTCTGAATGGTTCATGACTCAACAGAACTGAAACTTGAAACCAAGGTTTGTTCTGGGCTCTAGCAAAAATAATTTTGAGGTAATCTTGTAGGGCAAGAAGGCAAGACTGATACACCTCATTTTTCTTTCCCCTCTTTCTCATATGGTTCACCCCTACAGCTTCTATACCTCAATTTAGCTGCTGTCATGTCACTGCTGATGTTCAGATGCCTAATACCCCACATGGAGCACAGTTGCCTTGGGATGATTTCCAACCAAACATACAATTCTCAATTCTGTATCAGGATGAAAAACGTGGATTATGGTACAGGCACAGATTACCAACATTAAGTATTGGTTTTAGGCATAGAATGGTCTGTGCAAAGAATGCTTTATGCACCCCAGTATTAGCTAAGCCAAATATTTTTTTCTGTTCTCAATTTATACATGTGGCTGTTTGCAACCTATACATATACTAATACATATTAGTACCATGTCTTCTTTGTGGATAAGTTGGCTTTCTCAAGCAATGCATTTTGATTACAAAAGCAAAGGGTCATTTTTGAAGCACACAAGGGGATAACTAAATGTAGCCCCTATCAGCACTTTCTTAAAAGAACCTGATTGTCCTCAGTGGCTGCTGCATGACCCGAAAAAAAGCTCTCCTTGGGTTTAAGAAGTTGTGGGCAGGGCAGTTTTTAGGCTGTTCCATGCACTGAAGCATCTTCTTGCCTTGAACCCAAAGCCCTGCAGAGTTCTTTTACCTTTTGGTCAAAAGTTGGGAATGGCCTCTGTTATTGAGGAATCTGTGTTTTATTGATGACTCTTCTTTCTAGGTCTCCACCATGACTGAGATGAAGGGTTACTCTCAGGCTGTCACTGGAGTGAGTGTATAATTTAATGTCTTTTTTTTCTTTGGTGTAGATGAAAGGGAAAAGTTTCTGAGGGGACCACAAGCTTCATAACTCACTTTTAAACCTTTGGTCTTGGTGCTCTTGAGAAGGATGCTAGAGAGTGGTATTTACCTAATGGTGTTAAAAACCCCTTCCAATTTTCAGCCTTCAGAATCTCTGCCCAACATTGGAATTTACTAATTCTTCACTAGAGGTGTATCAAATGCTGTTACTAGGTACAGATTACTTTGGGGGCTTAGCTGAGTAATTGCCAGTTTTTTTCCTTTCCTTTCCTTTGTTATCAGTGTTAAGATTTTATCCTTCTGTTAAGCCCATCAAGTTGCTGTTGTTCTGTATGGGGCATGGTTAGTGGTAGTTCTGTCATTATCTAGTCCTCTGTCTGATGGGTGAGGAAAGAGTGCTGGCATATTTTTTCCACTGATATATCATGTATTGTTACTTTCAGTTCTTTAGCAGTATGCTGACCTACCCTTTCGTACTTGTTTCAAACCTAATGGCCATTAATAGCTGTGGGTAAGTGCACACTTTCTTTTCTCTCACTTGGCTTTCTTTTGAAAGCACACAAAGCTCAGTTTTATTTTTCAGGCCATTTTCTTTCAATAACTATTGAGAATTTTAGTAGTGTGCCTGCACCTTGCCACAATGTTCATGTTTTCAGTAATTGCTCTTGGGAATGTTCATACCATAGCCAACCGAGCTAAAAAAAAGTTTGTGACTTTTTTATGGGAGGCTGTAGGGATGACTAAAAGAACTCAAAGGTTTTAATTTAAAAGTACAGTAGGCAAAAAACCCATTATTTTATAGAGCCCTGCCTAAAACCAAAATATTTGTGGTTGGAGAAACAGCTAAGAGTTTCAAAAAATTTGAAGACATGTGGGTAGCAGCAAATCCAGTACACTTTTAGAAATTCATTATATAAGTATATAAAGTATTGAAAAAAGTCTGGATTTTTTCCTTTGGTAATTATCCAATCATATGAAATAGGAATCTATGATTAAGTTTTTAGGAATAACCCTGGAGCAAGAATCTGCCTGGATTCTGTGTCTTTTCCGTGATACATTGTACTATAGAAAAAGTTTTGCTGGTAAAAAGATAAATTTCAAATTTGCGAGATCAGATCTTTTTGGTTTTGTATTCCAGTTTTGAATCCTTGCAATAAAATTACCACTAGGTTATGAAAATGGCAATCCTCTCATTTGTGCCAAATAGCCACTATTCAGAGCCTTCACCTGTGTGTGGATTCCATTTAACTCTTGTCTGCACTTTGATGGCTGTTCAGAAGTGAGTGCAGGTTAGCTTAGTATAATGTACTGTAAGGTGAGCAAGCGCACCGTAAGTCAATAACAATATGTTAAGAAATATTTCAATTTGTTAATTCTTACGATAAAATCAATCAATTTTATGGTATTCCAAATGCCATTACAGAATGGGGAAGACTACTTTTAGTTTGTGGTTGCTAATTTGCTAAATTGTAATTTCTGTTCCCGTCCTTGTAAATACTGTGTTAATTATTAGATTGCTGTGCCATACAGAAGCCAGTTGCAGGCCAGTTTCCTGTCGGACTACCTGTTGAGTTTTGTCTCAACCACCTTAGCTCCTTGCTTGATCCCCTTTCCTTGCGTAGCAAAAAAAGGGCTGGTCCGGAAATGGCCTCTAAGCTGTGATCTTCAAACAGGTGACTGGCACTGAAACCTGGTAGGGAGTGAATTCTGTAAGCTTTGCCTTCTATTTTCCAGGCTCGCTGCTGGCTTCCCACCTTATGCACCAGCGTACACCTCCTGGTTACATTGCTGGAGCCAGTTGCATAGGGAGGTATGTCTGAAATGTCTGTCCTTCCTTACAGGATCCTGATGTTTTGCTGAGAGATGGGTATAGAATTGACAAGGCAGAGTTCCTCCTTTGGGCATGCCTACTATCTAAGTAAAAATTCCAGACAAAGTTGTCCTGCTGGGGTTTACAGATTACCCCCCCCCTCACTCACTGCATACTATCTGGCCCTCAAACCTCAGCTGCTGTATAGTGTGTAAATTTCAGAGGGCCGCAATGCTCTGTCTATAGGACTCTCACCTGCTTCATTTTCTTCTCGTTTAGGGCAACATGAGCCGAGGCAACAGCCTGTTTTTCCGGAAGGTGCCTACAGGAAAACGATATGTGTGGGAAGAAAAGAGATTTCAATGAGTCCACAGCCTTTTGTGGCTGCTTCAGATACACAGAATGATGGCAGTGTGTTGATTTCTATACAGTTTTTTTTTTTAAAAAAATAATCATTTAACCTTGGGAAATGGACTTGACCGTGAGCATGACTTAATGACAAAAGTAAAAGTTCCCCGCTCTGAAACATTTGGGTAATTGCCAAAAAGCTGCCAGTCTTGAGGTGGGGCGGGGGGAGGAATGGAGGTTTACTGTTAGTGAATAGGGGTATTTTTTTAACTTTCTCCAGAGAAAACCATCTATGTTGGGAATACTCTGCCCCTCATGTTCTTGCTATACTACTGCAACTTTGGTTGCAAAGCCATGGAAATAAGCTGCTCCTGGAATGAGATGGGTTCTGTTTGGCCTTGTGCATTTTATTTGCAGCTGCCAGATCAAGTTGGGGAACGTGGACCAATTTTTTTTTCCTCGCCCAGGGAGAAAGTCATTTCTTAGTCTTCATTCTTTTAAACATATTGTTAAACATTGCTTTAGTTTTAAGCCCAAAGGATGAGTCTGATTGTCTGTACAGAAGGCTTGGCGTTACCAGGAAGCAACTACAGCCTATGATCTGCCACTGAGCAGATTCAGAAATCATCTCTGGCTGTTTCTGCAAAATGCTTGAGGGAGCTTTACTTTTGATGGCCACTGAAAGCTGATGCCATTTTTCAATAGATCACAGTATGGATTAAGAAATGCTTTTCCAAAGTCAACACAAATGTTTAAAAAGGAAGATCTTGTTATGGGGAGAAAACCACTTAATTGGTTTTTTCCCCACGCTGCCCACAAGTAAACTCACAATAGGGATAGCTTTAATCTAAATTGAATTCTGTGCAATATTTCAGTCAAAAGTTGAGCTTTGAAGCTTTTGGGCATAAAAGTCTTTCATCTGGCATTCTTGAGTAGCTTCTAAATAAATAACTATCTTTTGAAGATAGCTATTCTGACCCAGGATGGAAAGGTATGAAGTAGAGTCCTTTGGGTACAAGAGATTCCAAAAGAGGTGAGGTTACCCTTTATAGTTGTGCCTGGAAAAAAATGCTGTTCAAAAATGTGATCATGAAACTTACTGGCAGTGCAGAATGTTACGGGGTTAATTCAATATGCTCTTAAAATTCTATTAGGATTTTATAATGCCAATAAATCTATAAGTGTAACTGGAGGACATAATTGATATACATTTGTAATATGGTCCTACCAGCTACCCAATGTGATAGACCATAAGCTTGATCCCATGTCTTCATCTTGTGTTATCTATGTCTCTATCTGGTAGAACAAGAGCTTTTTCTGTCCATTTTTTATTTTTAAAAAGAGAAGATTATCCATATTTGATCATGCCACAGTCCCAAAAGAAATTGTTAAGTAGGTGGGAAATTTAGATTGTGAGCTGTCCGATTCTAAAGTTTGTTGCCTCCATATAGTTGAGTTATAATATAATGATGACTAGCAATTCAGCAAGGGTTACATTTCCACACACCTGCTCCTTGTAACCCCTCTAAATGGCATTTAAGATTTTTTTTTTAAATTTTGGGATTAGAAAAGGCCAGCTGTTTTTGGCATGATAGATGAACAAGTAGAGATAATTAACAAATACCCATGGTGTGTTATGTTGTGAAACGAGGAATGCAGAAAAAGTAAATACATGTGAATTCTCCTAGTGACTGCTACATGCCATGATGCACTTGGGCAAGATGTTTAGAATTTGAAGGGGCTAAGGTAGCTTCAAAAATTAAGCTGAAGAGGCTTAAAGTCCTACTCAGGAATATATCTTTCTGGTAAACTCTTGACAACTGAATGTGTTCTCCAGACCTTGTGGTATGATAGTCCTTGACTCCTATAAGAGCCTGGGGCCCTGTGGCTTTGTTTAAATAGCCCCAAACCCATGTTCTGATGCTTAAAAATGGTGACTTTATTCTTCTCACTGATAAACTGAGAAATGGTTCTTCAGTTATTCTTAAAATATCTTGTCAGCAGTATGATTTTTTCGGTGGGGTGGGGGAGGAATGGTTCAGGCTAGTGGAATCTATGTCTTAACATCCATTGGTCTTCAGAACACTGCATTTTACAAATGCAGGCATCAACTGGAGTATTATAGTCAGAAATCAAATATTATACAGTGTTTATCTTATTCATTATTTGGGATTCACATTTGGGATCTCCAAAACTATTTTTATCATTTTACTGAGCCTCTATGACTGTGTCAAAATGGTGTTAACATGTCAGAACATATTGAAGAAACTACATTCTTGCATGCTCGAGCTATCCAGCCTGCTGGAAGATCTCATTCAATGACTGCTGTCTGTCATTGGAAGGTTTGGGAATCCCAGTTCATAATTTGATAGCCAAAGTACTGATTAAATTCTAATATAAAGTTATCCGATATCAAAAGGAAAGGTAATGGCGTTATAGTTTGCAATGGTATACGGTACTTTACAGTCTAATGTTCTGTTGAACTTGCTACTTCTTATGACATAAGCAGTGCACATACTATAGATTCTCCAGAACATCATTCTTTCATGAGTAATCCATATAATTTCTTGGCTAATTCTGCTACTACCATCTAAGTACAGTTTTTGCCATGGCATGAGTTCAAAAACGAATCTGCATAATCCCAAAGGGAGCATCTACCAGTGTTCAGAAGAAAACTGATAGGGAACCAGCCTTGGCATTTAAATCTTGCTTGAGATAAAATTTGGTTCTAAATTTCAAGTCTCTATCTGGTGATGAGATTATGATCTTATGTCCATTATGATCTTATATGAACCAAAAACATGTGACTGAATTTTCTGGAGTTTTTCTAGATCCAAGTACAATGTCCTTTTCCATTGTATTTGGTAGATATGTATTCAGCTCCCTTGCAAATGAATGGCCGCAATTCCTCATTTTGCTGAATGTTTAGCTAGTGGAATGTCGCTATATCTGTCTTTCATAAAGCCCGTAATTAAGATGGGAAGATGAGGTAGCCGTTATGTGGTTATCTTTGTCTTGCCCAGAAGAGTGACTCGGGCATGTGGGATTGGGGGAATGAGAAAGAATCATCTTTTAATTGTGCAAGACATAGAAAGATAGAAGAGTGATCTCTATTGTTCAAAAGGATTTCTTTCCTGAAAAATAGAAAAAATTAGACAGAAAAGTGCTATTGGATTTGTGAGCAGGATTGCTGCAAGTCTTTTTCTGGTTTACAAATTCCAGCTGACATTTACATATGCAGAAAAAACATGCAGTACTTGGCTCCTGGGTATCTACTAAGCCTGCTCTAAAAATATAACACACCCATTCTAAAATTCTTGCTTAGGATTGGTTGCCCTGATTCAGGACTGTAGTCAATGAAAATCAGTATTTTATATTTCTAATCTATTGCTAAGTGTCTGCTTCCTATGTTTTTAACGTGACCTGGAGTTCGATGTATCAGCATATGGCAGGTTTTCATATGAAATAAGTTGAGATTTGAGCAGCCAAAAAATGGCTAAGAAGCAGCTAAGCATTATTTTATAGCAGCTGCATATTGGTATGTCAATGTCCTCAAAAAACAACAACAACAACACTACAGTGAGCTACATTTGAGATATTTTTTTGTATATTTCTGTAAACTATTATACAGCTGCCTTTTCACAACAGTGAGTGTCTGATGCACGAAATTTAAAAATAACAAAGAATACCACTCCTCTAAATTAGTAATACTTGACATAGCATAACCCCCTAGTCTTAATTTTTTATATTCAATTTTTTATATTTTATATACAAGCTACCAAATTAATCCACCAAAGGGGCTAATTCAGCCTCCCAACTCAAGTGCCTGATGGAGCATCCAGGCCTTTAAATGCCTTATGGAAGGTTGAAAATGTTGGAGCCATCCTGATCTCTGAGTAGATGCTATTCCATATGTACTATAGCTACAATAGTTTAAAAGGCTAATTTAACAATGTAAAAGTGCATTAAGAATAATGTTCAGATCAGCAGAAGTCTGGTGCCATTTTATTCTACTTTCAAGTACTTCAGCTTAATGGTAGTTCTGCGTCAAGAGTACTTTAGGAGGAGAATGAGAGACCTACAAATCAAATATAGCAAAAAAGAATCTTTAATCATTGTTATATGCTATTATTGATGTCCCCCTTCATGGATTGTTATGATACCAACTGAATAGATGGAAGTGCGGAAGGCTTAACCTCTTGTTGAAGTTAAAATATACTAATGCATAATCATTCACTTTAAAAAAAATCATATTGTTAATGCCAATCCAATATTCGTAGGTAGTGAAGAAGCTGAAGAACTAATCGACTTCATGGGTTTAAAAATACAGAAACATGAAAAAAATACAAACATGATTTTTTCCATGTTAAGTCTGTTGAAAATCATTTGATGAAATATCATGTTTCATCTTTGGTGTAAACATTAGGAGTAAAGTTACTTTCCCTGTAAAAACATGAGCAACAAATAAACTCATACTAGAAATGGACTTGGCACTTAAAAAGACAAGTACTAGGAACTGAGAAAATAGATCTAAGTAGATCATGCATAAGGCTTGTTTGGTGATAAAATTTGCATTTGACAGGTAGATATCAATGAGATCTTAATGTTTTGCAACCTGGGCAGGCAAAGGCAATTCTTGAATATCCAATGCAACTGATATTGATGAAAATGTATTAATTGGACAGTAATGCAGTAAAGGGGACCTGCAGCAAGTGACAGTACTTGCTGGGAAAAGGTTAGAAACCAGTCTCTGTTCTTATTGACATAAAACCTCTAGACTGAACTGCTAATAATACACTGCTCTTGTCATCAGAGTAAAGAAGAGAGAAATAGGATTACTGTGGCTGCTTCATTCCTTCCATTTCTCCCTTTGATTCACTACACCTCTACAGAGAAAGAAACATTTAAAATGTTGAATGTTAAAAAGGTGGCCTTGTTTTTCAAATGCTTTTTTCAGTCAGTCAAAACTGATGTTTCAGTGAGGAAAGGAGCCTATCCCTCCAGCAACATCCAATCCAAAGCTTTTCTCCCTCCCTATATAGTTCTGCCCACTACTGCATGCCCCATTATGTCTTTTGCTAGATGCATTGGCAGAATCATAGCCTTGAAAAAATACACTAGTTTACCTTGAAGATGCAAATGAGGTTTTGGAAGAATTCTCTACACTGTTTAGTCCTGAGGTGACAGCATTTTTTTCCTCAGATTTAAAAAAAAAAACACCAGTATGTGCAGTCTCGAAAACATGATCAGGAAGACAAAATCAATACACTTTACTCGTTTAATGAATTTAACTCCTTTTTTGAATTTTTTATACAGTTGCTGCTTTCCACTTTCTGGCTCTTTTAAGAATTCTTTCCATCCGTAGGAACTCTCTTACCTTTCAATGCACATTCCTTGGAAATATTAGAGGCATTATAATTGCTACATACTATTGCGAGGTTTGTTGAATTATTATTAGCATTACAACACAACATGGAATTATTATATTTTTATCCTGCCTTTTATGTATGTAATTCGAGGTAGCAAAATGCACACAATTCCCCTGCCTTCTCTTTTCCTCAAAAGCAAATCTGTGAGTTGGGTTGAGAGTGACTGACTCAAAATCAGCCAGCCAGCTCCTATGCCTGCCCTAAGCCTAGAATTCACGTTATTTTTTAAAGTCACAAACCTATGTATTTACTCAGAACAATCCCTTGGGGTTCAAACAATCTTACAAGTAAATGTGTCCAAAATAGCAATAAAAATTTCCAATCATTTAAAACATGAAGGAAAAAAAAAATCCTCAGCCAACAAAGGAACAAGCATTACATTTTCTGGGTCTTTCAGGAAAGAATTCAAAAACACTCGAGTTTTTATCCATGCATTTTTTTATTGATATCTATTTAAACATGTATTTGCTCCATCTTTAGGAAACTTATCAACTATAGTGTTTAAAATGTGTTTTTCCCTTCCAGTGAATTGGTATGATTCATGGCAACTAGAGAAGGAAATGTTTTGTCGTTCTGACCTGTGGTTCTAATCTACAAAATCATCCATAGTGATTTTGGAGAACTTGAAAAACAGGACATAAGCTACAAGAACCCATCAATCAATAAATAAGCTCAGCTTTGGTGTTGAATGAAGCTCAGAAAGGAGCAGGTCAAAAAAAAAAACCACGCTTCTCCAGTTTCCCCTCTTTTTCACCATCTCGTTAAGGGGAAAAAAATAACAACAGGATGGCATCCTTCAGAGTACTGCATCCCTAGGGAGGCCCCAGTCTGGCTGACAGTCAGTGGGGCAGATCGTTTTGGGGAGGGGAGGGCGAGCGAGCTTCCCCTTGCTGAAGGCTGACTTGGGTACAGACAAGGCTGCCGCTGCTTTTCGGATCTCCGCCATCGGCAGCGGAGTGACTAGATGATAATGGAAATTATATAAGGCAACCCCACCGACAGGGATCTGCTCGCTGGAGCCGAGGCTAAGCAGATCTACGAATATCCCGGACTCCTGCTCGGAACTCATCTCGCCCAGCTCCAGGAGCGCAGCCCGCTTGGCAGGGAGAGTGAAAACGGGCCCGAGGCTCAGCTACCTCAGGATATGGAAACACGATGTTGTTTAGTGTTGAATAACAGTAACACGTCCAGGCTCCCCGCTTAGTAGAGATTCATTTTCCCGGCGGCCGCTTATCATTCGGAAACTACTTCTTTTGAGTTAGATCAAACGCTCCGCACGAGTCTTTCCGAAAATCTCCGATTGCTAACGGATGTGTCCGAGAACCGGATACGGAAAAAGACGAGCGCATCCGGAAGAAGACGAGCGAAGTTCGGCCAGCCCAAATCCCTCGAAGACTTCGAAGCCGAATCGGGCGAGAAGCCATCATGGCGGACAAGATTGCGCAGCTCCGGGCGGATGGGATCCAGAAGCGGTTGGTGCAGGAAGGCCGGGGACCGGCGCTTGATTACCAAGATGGTACCAAGGTGAAAAAGATCGCGCGCGATTCTCTCGGGAGATAACGGAACCGGACCGAAAAATGCGCATGCGCCATTAGGAAAGGACATTTGGATTAAAGTGCGCATGCGCGGTAGACCTGAGCGAGTGGAGTCGGGTGGCCGTGTAGGCGAAATGGAACGATGCTCATTTATCTCCATTCATTGCTTTCGCTCCTGCTCTCGTTTATGCCTACGTCAATAGGTTGCTCTCGTTCCCACTTTGTACACTGATAAATCTGATCAGCTCCCAGTGTCATTAAGCGAGAATAGCTAGTGGTTAGCGAGAATAGTAATTCACCCCATTTAGAGGAAACCAAATTGGGGAAATTTGGGTTTAGCGAGGGAGAGGTCACCTACTCCAGCTATAAATGGAGAGTTGGCAGCTCCCTCGATGTTGCTGGACAATTCCAGTATCCCTGACCCAATGGCCCTGCTGGCTGGACCTGGCTAGTTTTGCAAAATTAGAAAGGTCACATGTGGCTCTGCACTTGAAGGCTACCATTGCTGATTTTAAGAGGGATTTTCAGAGGAGATGACATTTGGCTGATCTTGACTGGGTTTGGTTGCCAAGCTTCATTGGCCCTGATTACCTGTTAGGGGAAAAGCTCCAGAGAAAGGACCAGAGCTCTACACCAGTATTTGTCAACTTTGGTAGTTTGAAGATGTGTGGCCTTCAACTCCCAGAATTCTTCAGCCACCTTTGCTGGTTGGGGAATTCTGGGAGCTGAAATGCATACATCTTCAAGATGCCAAGGTTGAAAAATATTGCCTTAGATCAAATTGGCAAGTAAAAAGAAAAAGAAAAAAAACTGGCAAAAATTAGCAACGAGCTAGTTTTGTCACAGGGCCAAGAAAATGATGGATGTAGCCACCAAGGATCAACCTCAGTTCAAAGGTACCTTTACTGTTGAGGAGGTTTTTGTTGTTAATCTCAAGATGCACATTAGCTTCCGTTTAGCTTCTTTGCATGCACATCTAAGTAACTGAAATCCAGGCTGATGTCTCCAAACTCTAACCTAAAGATTAGAATAAGTTTGGGGGAAAGTGTGCGTGGAGCTGTCCCCTTACATACCGATTTGAACTATTTCTACCACACAGTGGCTTATGTTTGTCCCAATGTTGGGATTTTCAGAGGGTAGGAATCAATGCCATTGGCTGTTGGGAAGGTGGCTCCCACTGATTTTTTTTGTGAACCACATTCGAGATAGTGTTTTTCAACTCCAGAGGTTCAGCACAGTCAGCCAGCAGCCATTTGACACATATACTTGTGTGCTACTTGGCTAGTTTGCGCTCAGCCACTTCAATGCGTTTCTTCATAGTGGTACATCAGTCCTTTTTAAAATCACTGTTAGTTGCTTTTCAGGAAATGCTGTCTTATGGTTCCAAAGTTGGAACAGATGTGGGTATGCATGCCATACTTGTTGCTACTTCCTTAAAGAAGCCACCTCTTTTCCAAGGTTAGTACAGTAGCCATGTGATCAAAGAAAACTGCACATTTAAGTTAAACAGGTTATAACGGTGCATCGGAGTGGGCATGGATACACTGCCTCAGTAACCTTTCAGTGTGTGTGTGTGTGTGATATATATATATATATATAGTATTCAGCTTTGTTCGGGTATTTTCCCACGTCATTATAGTTTCCCACGTCATCTCCTTGAAGGCTATCAGGAGAATTCAGGTGAAGTTAAAGACTCTTGAAGGAGTTGGCTGAAAGGTATTGCAAAATTACGCGTGCTCTGAAATATTTTTTTCAGCTTTGGAGCTAAAGCATTGCAAAACCCCAATAATGTGTTTACTTCCACTAAACGATCTGCGTCTTTCTGATGTGGACAATGTTATATTATGATGACATCATTGAACTCCGTACTGCAAATGAGTTAAAATATCTGACTTGCAGGTAGTCCTGGACTTAATGACTTAATGAGCCTGGAAATTATGGTTGTAAATCATGTGATTGGATTTGAAGTTACAACTTTTTTGGGGGGGGGAGGGGGTACTAGTAATGGTTAAGTGACTGCCATGGTCATTAAGCAAGTACTGTGGTCATTTAGTGAATCCATTTTCCCCAACAGGCATTTTTTTGCCAGAAACAAACAAATAAATGCCAGAAACCAGCAAAAAAAAAGTTGCAATCTGTTGGTAAAGGTAAGCCAAATGTCAAGTACCCAAAGTGCGATCACATGACCATCATAATTTAGAAAATGGTTTGTAAATAGCTCTGGGCAGGTCCGTCATAACTTTGAATGGTTGTTATGCCAATGGTTCTAAGTCAAGGACTACCTGCAGTCTGTTCTAGTAGATCGGGGAGGTGACCTACTCACTTGCTCTGCTTCTGGTTCTCTTCAGGTGACTTTCCACTATCGCACCATGCTTTGCAGTTCAGATCAGAAAGTACTAGATGACAGTCGTACCCGGGACAAGCCTATGGAGCTGATCTTCGGCAAGAAATTCAAGCTGCCTGTCTGGGAAACTATCTTGCACAGCATGCAGGAGGGCGAGGTGGCTGAATTTTTGTGTGACACAAAGGTATTGCCCATGCCTGTTTTGGGGGAGAATCTGGCAGGGAATTCATACAATCCTAGAATGCAAGGTTGAAGTTATAAAAACAACAACAATAACCCTGGAAGATCATTTCAATATACCACTGCAGCAAGATTACTGTATTTGGAGGTAGAAAGATAAAACCTATCACGGAGGAATGGTTGGGAAAGTTAACAGATTTTGCTGAAGTGGATAGTTAGCTGTTGATGAGAGAAAAGACATACCTGGTACTTTTATTACTGACAAAAAGGTTGTTATGGACTTTGCATAAAAATGAAAAAATGAACTTGCGACATGATGATGATGATTAGACAGGGCAGATTGTAGAAAGAAAAGTAACATGATGTAACTTCAGAGAAAGGTTAAAATATATTTGTACTTATAACCGCTGTGAAGAATACCGAAAGCCATTCCTTTGTACCTTTTTTTTCTATCCTATTTTACATTTTCTTGGACTTTTCCCCCCTTTTCTTATTTCTGTCTTTTCTTACTATCCATTAGTTTGTGTCGGCTTTTACCTTCCTGTTTTGAAAGTTTTAATAAAAAATATACTTAAAATGTGAGGTTGAGAGAGCTTTGGAGATCATTTAGCCTAACCCCCAGTCTAGTGTCAGAATCCACTACTTCAGCACCCCAGACAGACGGCCAGGTCAACACTCCAGTAAAAAGAAATTCCATTGTGCTCTTGACAATCTTTGCCACTATTAAACTGTGCTGTTAGAAACGTTTCCTTGATGCTGAACTGAAATCTTCCTTATAATTTAAATATATTCTTTCTTATTCTGAACAGTTCTAAACAACTTTGCCCTATTTTATGCAGGAGGATCCTTCAGATACTTGAAGACAGATATCAGGTTTTCCCACTATTTCCTCTCTAAACATGTCCAGCACCTCCAACCGTTCCACATAAGTTTCTTCTTATAGGCCATTTTTCATCTTGGCTTGTTGTCTTCTGGATACCCTTGTTTGCCAGGGACCTCTTTAAAACTGACTGCCCAAGAATTGGTACACTATATTAGGTTTAGTCTGATTAATACAGAATAAAGAGTAGCAATGACTTCTGTGTTATATGTATAGTGTAGATCTTTGTCCCCTTCAGAGTAAAATGATACAAAATGTATATGGGCAACTTTGCCATTTGCCAATTAAACTTGTACAAAAGAAAGCAATAAATTCTTGAGTCTGTATGGTGTACGTGGAATTACAGTTTTGCAATGTAGAGCGTTAGTGTCAGAAGTAGGAAAAAGGCCCTTTTAAAAGTCTTCTGTTGCGATTCAAATATAAAGGAACCTTGATCTAGTACTGATTCGGGCATGAGCAAAAGAACATTAGGTTTCCTTCTTTTATAAAGTCATTCATTTTTTTCCTAATTGGGAAAAGGCATTTATTCCCTCTCGCCTGTGCCATTTTTCTCCCCCTCTCCTCCTCCTTCAGCATGTGGTCTTATATCCGATGGTGTCCAAGAGCCTGAGGAACATTGCAGCTGGGAAAGATCCTATGGAGGGACAACGACATTGTTGTGGCATTGCCCAGATGCACGAGCATCAGTCGCTGGGTTACCCAGACCTTGACGAGCTCCAGCAGAACCCCCAGCCCCTCATCTTTGCCTTTGAAGTGCTCAAGGTGAGGGGGAAGGAAAGGTGAGGTCCTCTGGGCTAGGCAGGCTCGAGAAGGGCGATTGGGCTTCACATGTTTGGGACTCTCTTACCTACTTGAGTATATGGCTCCACAAAACAAGGAGAAGATAGATGCCTTCGGATAGAAGTCGGGAATCGTTTTTTCTTCATGCACAAATTGCATGAGATCGTTGTTTTAATGGGTCTTATTTCCAAGGGAAAGACCGCATGCTTTTTGCTGTCTCACTGGGGGAAAGAAGCAGTTTGAAGTAATGCAAGCCCTTCTTTTCCCTCTTACCCTGCATCTTTTCAGTTTTGAGACACCTTTTCAATTATTTTACTCATTTGTTAGACACTTACATACCTCGCCTTTACTCCAGGAGCTCAAGACTGCATGCACAGAACATCTACATCCCGGTTTTCCTTACAATAAATTCCTTGTGAGATAGATTGGGAAGGCCAAGGGAGCTTCTGTGGCTGAAAAGGGGCTTAAATCCAGGTCTTCCCCAGGGCCAGTCCAGTGCCTTTCCCAATCCTCTGTGTTCTCTTCCAGTGCCTTAGAGCCTGGGGTGACCAAAGCAGGCTGGTTCTTAAGGGCCCTGCTTTCTCTAGCACCGTGATCTAACCATGCTTGTTGCCTTGTGCCACACCAGGTAGAAACACCTGGCACGTACCGACAGGATCCATGGGCTATGTCAGATGAGGAGAAGATGAAGGCCGTGCCCCTGATCCACCAGGAGGGCAATGAGCTCTACAAGGAAGGCAAAGTGCAAGAGGCGGCTGTCAAATACTACGATGCAATTGCTTGCCTTAAGAACCTGCAAATGAAGGTGACTGATGGTGTGGCTCCCCGGGGGTGGTTTCATTTGTGTAACATTCAGGGCAGGAAATGCCAAATCAGGGAGGGATTTCCACCCTGGATGAAGCAGAACTTTGGGCAGGTACAAATGTAGTCAGTTAAGTCATTTTCATAACCAGCTAAAGCTTGGCCTGGCCAGAGCAATCTTCGCCCTTGATTGAACAGTCTGTGAATGGGATTTCTTCAGTTTGGTCAATGGGCTCCTAGTTATTCAACATTGGTTTTATTGTGCCTAATATGGGTACGAGTAGTGCTGTGCCTTCAGGTGCATTGTTTGGGGTCCGCCAAGTTATCTTTCCTACCTAAGTTTATAAAGGTTATTCAATTTAAAAATGCGAAGGAAACTGGTATTCTCCAAAGTTAAATTTCATATTGTTGTCAAGCCACAAGACCTTTGGACCCAAGCAAGGACTTTTTGGGATTGTAGCTAATTTGCTAATTCCTGGACACCTAAATGAATTTGCTACCAAAAATTTTTCCCCTGGCAGTCTTGTTGTGAATTCATGTACTTATCACATACAGCAGCGATGGCGAACCTTTTTGTTGTGTGATGCAAGTGCACGTGTGTGCGATAGCGCATGTGTGTGTGTGTCGGCACCCACAATGCAATGTGCCCGACCCCCCCCCCTTGCGCATGTGCGTGCAACACCCCCGCTCCACTCCCCTTACCTGCACTGCGCGTGCCTCCTAGCTGATTTTCGGCCCGTTTGAGGCTGTTTTTGCCCTCCCGGAGGAGCAAAGGAAGCCTCCGGAGCCTTGGGAGGCTGAAAACAGACCCGTTTCGGCACTTCTGGTATTTCCGGAAGGCCCGTTTTTCGGCCTCCTGAGGCTGCAGAAGCTTCCCTCGAGCCTCCGGGAGGGCGAAAATTAGCTAGGAGGCACACACAGGCACAGTGCAGGTAAACTTGGCTGGGGCTTGCGTGCCCGCACAATTCGCTCTGCGTGCCACCTGTAGCTTCGCCATCACGGACATACAGTATTCTCCAAATTCCAGGTGTGCCTCATCTGAAAAAAATGGGCCTACATAATGCTGTCCCACTTTGTGCATACTCACACCAGTAAGGAGGATCCCTGCTAAACCATTGGGACAATTTTGCTCAGCTACTGTGGGGCTCTCCTGGCCCAGTTCCAATGGGAGAGAGGGATTGTATCCTCCAAGTAATTCTATCAAAGAAATAGCATTCTTCTTCACTCATGCAGCTCCATGATAGGAGCTGAAAAGCAGTCAGAATGCCTTCTCTAACATAATTTGTCAAGATAGCCACAATTTCTCTCTTCATCAGAACACACGCATGAGTCAAAATCAACAGTGTGTTTTTTCCCTTTCCCTGACCTACCTTTTATCTGTAGAAATGGCATCTGAAATTTTCTTCATCATTCCATCTGTGATGTAGTCCTTGTTAGAAAAGGACAAGCAATTTTGTGTGGAAAAGGTTCGTGTTCTCCCTCCTATTTATCATCTTTTACATTTCCCTAAGGGCTTGGCCGCAGGACCTACGACAATGTGCCACAGCCAACTCACCACAGGACAAGAGTTACACTAATATTGAAGAAATAGTGGAATAGAATCCTGATGCCAAAGGAGGGACAAAATGGAACGTGAATGAAAAAAATTAAAACATTTTAAAAAGTATTTTAAATAATTAAATTGAATTGCTGAATTTTCCCGCAGCGAGTTGTCCCATGGTAAATTGTCCTGCAATGAGTTGGCTACGGCAAATTGGACGTGGCCAGTTGGCCATGCAAGTTGGCTTCAGCAATTTGTCCCTTCCGTCGGCTGCATGTGGATTTGACCTTGGTGCCACCACAAGAAATTCTGTCCCAGGCCAGCCCATAAGGGTTCTGGCCTGTGGGCAGAGGTTGCTACAGCTGACCCATGCTTTGTGCCCTTTCTCTTGTTCCATGCCATAGGAGCAGCCAGGATCTGCCGACTGGATCCAGTTGGACCAACAGATCACTCCTTTATTGTTGAATTACTGTCAGTGTAAGTTGCTGAACGAGGAGTACTATGAAGTGCTGGATCACTGCTCCTCTATTCTCAACAAGTATGAAGGTAAGGAGGCTTGTGAGCTATCGAAGAGCCACGGTGGGTTTGAAAGGTAGAGAAGTCTGAAATGTGGCTGTCTAATGGGGAGGAGAAACATCAAGGCTGAAACCAGAGCAGGCCTTCAGGGATCTTTGGCATCAGGCCATGGATCCCGCTTAGCTTATTCAAATGGCCACTTCCCCCACAGATAACGTCAAAGCCTACTTCAAGAGAGCCAAGGCTCACGCAGCTGTCTGGAACTCAGCTGAAGCTCAGGCCGATTTTGCCAAAGTATTGCAACTGGATCCATCGTTGACCCCAGTGGTAACCCGGGAGCTGCGCAACTTGGAGTCCCGCCTGCGTGAGAAAGAGGACGAGGATAAGATCCGTTTCAAAGGCATCTTCTCCCAGTAGTCCTTGGACCGGCTGTTGATGCTCTCATTCAGGACAGCTCTTGCTTTCTATCTGAGCCTGTCCAGGGAGAAGTTGTGTAAATGTGGTGTGTTGCTCCTTGTCAGGCTTATCCCCACCCTCCACACCAACCTTGGAGGGAGCCAGCTTTTCCTGCCAACAGAGTTTGTACTCTCCGTGCCAATAGCACTATTTGCTACTGCCTGGGTTAGATAACGGCAAGAAAGCATTTCAGATTCTCCAAGCCAAAGCAGGATGGGTGGAAAGCATGCCCAGAAATGTATCTGCCACTTAGGTGGCAGCCTACCTTTCTCCTGTAATTGATTTTATTCTCCTATTTCATCACACATGGTGCCTTTTGGTCATCTGAGCACAAGGAAAGAAAATTACTTTCTTGGGCTGATGTTTTATGAAAGGGCTGGCAAAAGCTCTGGCTGAAGGTTTTGCTTTGAATCGAGGCTTCTTTTCCATCTCCAAATGTCCTTTTGGCTGCTAGATGAAAGGCTGGGCATAGGAGCATCTGATCTCTAGAAACGGCAGCAGCTTCCACATCTGTGGATGTGGGCAAGAGAAAATGGGTGCCAATAATGACAAGTCTGGGCCCTTGAGTATCATCCCTGCTCCTTCTCTTGAGTCATGCAAGCACATACATAATCTCAATTAGGCGCCCTTTCCCCAATCCTTGCTGCTACTTGGATATATAGGATTATACCCAGTAATCCCCCACCCACAAGATTCCTTTCTAAAAGAAGCATAGCCAGTGTCTGTTGCAAGTTAAGAAGAGAATAGCAAAGCATATCTGAGAGAAAGGCGGGAACTCCTGTCTGCTATAGTGAGGTGGCTGTGCTGGCAAACTCCTCAGCCCAACCCTGAGGAAGGAATCCCATGCTGGTCGAATCTGAGTGGAAGAGTTGTGCATTGTTGCTTCCCAGGCTTGGATTGGTGGAGCTGCTGTAGTCCGCCTGCCAGGGGACATTTGAGTTCCCACCCAACGCTTACTTAGATTTGATATATGAAAGAGAGAGAGAGAGAGAGAGAGAGAGAGACCTGGTGGGCATGGCTTCCTAATTAAAATAGGATGAAATATGTCCGTCCGTCCTCTCTTGTAGAAGCCATAGGAGCAAAGGTGATGCTAGCCAGCCTATCTCATCTATGTGTTGGAGTGGTGTGCTGTGTTCCACCCTCAATAGCTTCTGACTTAGAAATCTCCACCACAAAATCATCCCTTCTTGAATGCCAACTTTCCTCCATCAGTAGCAGTTCCTGGCAAAGCGGTCCCTGGACTTAAGTTCTGTGGCCACTCCTTGTTCAAAAACGTGCCAGCTCTTGAGTTTTGTTCTTGAGCAGAGCAAGAAGGGGGAGATGGGCGTGCGGTCCTGAGCCGGTACAGAAACCAGCTTCAGCTGGGGCTGTGGAGTGGTGGTTGTCAGTCCCTCCCTCCAGAAACTCTGTAGCCGAGTTTCCCACAAGGTGTGCTGTGTGTGGGAGGAGTTGTATGGGGATTACCTTGCTGGATTTGGACCAGAAAACCCTCACGACTACAAACAGGAGCCGAACTCTTGACTGTCTTGCTTTTGATGGCGCAGGGTAGTGAAGGCCCTACCTAGGAGGTAGGCTTCCCAGTCCACTCCCCATTCTCAAGTAACAGAGAACAGTAGTCATTTGCTGTTATCTTTTAACCCCTCTCACAAATTTTCTTGGCAGCTTTCCAGTCTGGGGTCAAGGACCTGTTTAGTGTGTTTGTCTCCCATGTGTCTGTGTGTGTCTTATCTATTGATTGCAGCCAAGAGACAGGGTGAAAATGGTTCCTTCATAAGACCAGAACGAGGGATGTGTCTGGTTGAGTGCAGCTTTCCATAACTGGGAGCTCTCTAGCTGAGTTTGGGCTACCTTGGGGAAGCGCAGCCTAGATGAAGAAGCTGAGCTATGTAGAGCAGGAGAGGATTTCTTTTTTTTTCTTTCTTTCTTTCCTGTGGTGGATGAGACTGAGAATTGTTTCCTTCTGGAGACAGGATAGGAATGTTTCCTTCCATCCTGCCTCCTTCAAAGTTTCTATTGCCAAAGTTGCCCGCGAACCTCTCCAGATTTAGTTATAGACCTGGTAGGTGACCATTCACCAGTTTTACTGCTAAAATTGTTCACCGCCTTCTTTTTAAGGGGCATGCATTAGATCCAGTCTATGTATATTTCTCTCACTAAATTGCAGGTAAATCAATTACATGATTTACTTTTTATTTCAAGGGACTCCCCCCTGCCCCCCCTCCCCGAAATTCAAATAAACTAATCTCAATCCAATCCATTACTCCTCGGAAGAAAATACACCTTGGTTTCCCCGTGTGTTTCCAAATGTTGGTAAAGCTGTGCATTTGTATAGCTGGAGCTGCTCTCCAGATGTTGGTTCTTGGCTGCTATTTGCTGTGCCTTCTTTTGTGAGCTCTTGTAGAATAAACATATGCTTTTGATAGCTTCCAGACCAGAGTTGCCTGGTGATGATGATGATGAAATTTATGGGTGCATCTTCAGCACCCATAAAGGATGGCCAGTGATGGGAATGAGAACCCATCACTCAAGTATTTTTGTGACGCAAAGCCTCCATGTGCTGACAGAAGGCAACATGTAACACAGTTCAAATTAAAAAAAAAAAAGAGTATTTTCCTCTCAGATGTTATCAGTGTGGCTTCTTTAAAGTGTAGCTTTAACAGGACGGTACAGCTTTCCACTAATTTGTGTTGCTTGGTAGTGTCATTATCAAAGGCTCCTTTTCCACAAGCCTACCTTTCTGGCTGCACATCCCTGAATTGATAGTGGTCTTTCAGGGAAAATGAGAGGCAACCAAATTAGAAGTATAATGCAGAGGCTTACCTCTGTACTGTACAGTGTGTTTTCTTGTGCCTCGCATGGCTTGTGAACTTGTTCCTCTTTCAGTTTAGCCTGGCCATTGTCTCCAGGGTCAGAATTAGAGCAGAGAAAGTTGAAAAGGCCATCACGAGGTGCACACACCTCATAGTTCTTGCAGCCTTGTCATTCATTACTGTAATTCAATGGGTTACAGTTTAGAGTTATGTACCAAAAGTGTTAGTGGAAATAGAAGCTTGAAATTTTGCTCATCTTAGGACCTGTTTTTATCTATTTTGCTTTGAGCTGCTACTGAGGGGTGTTCATAATGTTCTAAGAACTTATGAAATGGTGTTTTTAAAAAGTTGAACTAGAAATAGACTAGTTTAATTGGATGAGGCCAGGTCACATAAAGCTGATCTGTTCAGGAGTTTAGAATCAACAAAATTATAACCTTTTAAGGAAGCCTATGTGAATTCTTCTTCCCCAGAAGTAATTTTTTTTGAATTGGCAAAACATGGCCCAGGGAGAGCTTCTTTAATATCCTCAGTCAAATCCTGATCAAAAAGCATTTTTCTTACCAAATTAGAATTAAGTGTAATAAATGTTTTGGAGTGTCTAAAAAGCAGTGTTGATTAGGATTGGGGGGGTGGGAGAGAAATCACAAGAAACGAGATATTTAATTGCTTCAAACCAAGCCTTTAAACAACAACAACAACAAAACTAAAGGAAAATAATTATGCAATCAATAATTTATTAAACCTCCATTTTGTAAAGCCAGTTACAAATTAAACAAAGAAGTGCAGAAATAAATCTGCAATACAGTTAATGTCTGTTACATTCCCAATTGGGTTTTTAGCTGCCTGCAGCAACCCGTGAGCCAGGATATAGCAGTACAGTAGTATTGCAGGTTCAAGGGAGCAGAGGAATATGTCATGGAGACTGAAGGCCAGGCTTCCTCCAAGTGGGGGTGCCCTCCATGTGTGAAAGCTTAACTGGCACGCTCCAATAGACAACATGCCAGCTGCAGTGACTGGAAATTCTTGATCCATTAGGAGGGCACTTGGTTGAGAGGAAGCCTATCCTTGTCAACGTACTGAACCAAAAATAAGGTCACGTGTCTCTTCTGCCTGTCTCCCTGGTTCCATGTTCAGAAACAGAAAAGATGCAAGGGCAACGGAATGGGACTCAGTCTGGCATATTAAGGCAATGTCTATAGGGAGATGAACTGTGATGTTTAGATCCCAGCCTAACCAACATAATCACATTACGTGCACCAAATATTTGGGGGTGTCTCTAGTTGTTCCTCCTTGGTGGCGGAGAATGAAAAGATGGCAATGGGGGGGTCATCTGGTCATGTTCCTCATTTGCAACCCCAGAGACAGGACAGAGTGGAAGGTCATTGCTTGGGAAATCCTTTGCAGACGTCCATTTTCTATGGGTTCTGGGAGGGCTGGACATTCTGCAGCACACAGTTGGATGTAAAATGTAACCTTATCCCCTGAATGAACCAGGTAAATGTTTTTCGTCAAGTGGCACTTCCCCAAACATGAAGCATGAAAAATTTCCAGAAGGTGGTAGGTGGACATCTCTAGCTCAGCATTCCTCAGCCAAGAGCTGAAGCTCACGCAGGAGGAGAAAGCCCAGTCAGAGAAGTGTTGCTTAGCTGTATTAGGATTGGCAAACATTTGTACTGTGACTGAAAGTACAGGCAGTCCTCAACTTACGACCACAATTGAGTCCAAAATTCATGTTGCTAAGTTAGAAATTTGTTAAGGGAGTTTCGCCCCATTTTATGACTTTCCTTGCCCCATTAAGTGAATCATTGCAGTTGTTAAATTAGTAACACGGTTGGTTAAGTGAATCTGGCTTCCCCACTGGCTTTGCTTGTCAGAAGGCACAAAAGGGGATCACGTGATACCAGGACGCTGTGACCATCATAAATGTGAATCACTTGCCAAGCATCCGAACGTAAATCGCATGATCATTTCATGGTCATAAGTGAAAAATGATCGTAAGTCCCTTTTTTCAGTGCCGTTGTAACTTTGAGCAGTCACTAAATTAACTGTTGCAAGTTGAGGACTACCTGTAATTTAAATTCAGGACTGGGCACGGGCACACAATTCAAGAGCTTGCATGTCTCAGTTATAAACTCTGAAAGAATACTTGCACATTGGGACAGAGGCTAGATAATAATCCTGTGCTCTCGGATATTTGGATTCTTCTTCAGTCTCAGCTGCCGTAGCTAGTAGAAAAGGGCTGGGAGAATTCTAATCCAAAGCCTCTGGGCAGCACCAAGAGAGACAGCAGCTTTCCTCTTCTCCCTGATGCCATTTATTTCTCGTAATTACGATCAAACCCAGATCAACTAGATCTGTAAGTAAACCTGTTCATTTTGCAGAAACCGCATTGAGGGTTCAGACCCTCTATTTTCTTAGCAAGGAATTTAGAGCATTTTATAGTATTTTGTTTTAACGGTTTTCCAAAATATTTTCAGTGCAAGTGAGCCAATGTATTATTTTCTACACAAATCACATTTAACCTTAAGCTTAAGAGTATCTTTCTCCAGCCTGGCACCTTTTAGATGTATTCAGTTACAACATATCCAGGAGGCACCAGACCAGAGGAGAATGCCCTCAGGCTGTTCTTTTCTGTCCATGTTGCCACCAATTCTTCCCATTACTTATCTATGATGGCAGTGCAGAAAAACAAAACATTAACAAAAATACTGCAAAGTCCAAACTCCTTGCCAAGGAAGAAAGAGAACTGCAGCATACAGGTGGAATATAAAATTTGACTTTATCCTCTGAATGAACCAGATAAATATTTTTTTCTACTAAGTGGCACTTCCCCAAACATGCAGCATGAAAAATTACGAAGGACTTCAAGAAGGAACAATGCCATGTCTTTACATTTATGCAGCCTTGTGACAGCCGATCTCCCATGTAGCAGGAGTCCCAAGCCTATAGACGTACTGAAAACTGATTTGGAATTTGAAGTCTTTGCTTGAAGCCACTGGAGACAGTAACAGTCTTAGAAAGATGACGTCTGTTGAGATGTAGCAGCTCATTCCTGAGAAATCACACGTGCTCCACCCAAGGAAGAGCTAACAAAATCTCAGATGTGGAATTCTGGCTGATATTAACTTAAAGCAACTCTCCTGCTGCTTTTATTGCAGAAAAAGTTTTCGCCTGATGATCTTTCAAGCAAAGATGGCTCTTGCATTGTCCTTGCAGTAAGATCTGACCCACAAAGAGCGGGCTCAAGAAAAATCCACATAAAACAGGATCTAGCCTGTGATGTTCTAATTTTTATTATAAAAGGCCTGGATGTTCAACTGTAACCCTTTATGTGTCTGTCAGGCAAGATGCTGGAAGGAGAATTATAGGGTAATGTTTTCTTACAAAACGAATCTGCTACAAATTGGGCTGAGTCACACCACATGTCCTTCTCAGCAGCATAATTAACTCTGCAAATCAAATCACCTCATCCAAATACTTGCATGGCTGTCCAAGCTGGTGGCTGATCTGATGCTACAGCATTTCTTCACAATCATGTTGATGTAGGCCTTCATTATTTTAATTATTTCTCCCACCTAATAAAATAAAAAGAAGATTATCAGAACCATTTAGTAAACTATGAAACCACTGTGGATTCTCTCAGGGTCCAAGACAAGTTGGAGACATTTTACAAATCAACAATGCTGGACTTCCAGCTGACGTCATGGCGGTATTGGATGTGAGGAGTGGGTCTCCGTACAAAAGTATTCAGAGAAAGCTAACTATAGCAGTTTAAAAAGCTTATTTTTCTCCCTAATGTTCAAAAATTCAGAAGCCCTTATTGATCTATCCACAATTATATTAGAAGTTTGTATCTTGTTTCCTGCTCTGAACAAATAACAGAAGGAAAACATGGTCTATGAAGGGATTGCCTGATATTCTGACCAGCCACCTAACTTTCCAATTGAAGTTATATAATTAGCTGCTCTGCCTTATAATTTTTCTAGCCTGGTGTGGTCTGGGAACTCCTGGGGGGTCATTAAGACCCTTTCAGGGGGCCTGCAAAGTCAAATATTCTAACCTTTCTCCGTTTTAATACGTAGTACAGTG